CAGCTGTTATACATATTTAAAATATTTTATTTGAAGTATAGCATTAATATTTGTGAGTAGCAGTTTTTATTATTTCCATAATAACTTTGTAATTTTACTGTAAGATCAAATGAACATGTGGTAATTCCTTTTGAAGGGGAATTTCTTGGTATCCACATTGTTCTACCTTATTGATAACTTCAGGAGAAGACTCTGAGCAAACTCAACCCTGTTCCTTCTTAAGTACAGAGTGGAATGCATTGCACTTTAGACATCCATCAACCCTTTGGGTAAACTGGACCCTCCAAAGGATATTTAGACAATTCTAGAAAGCAGCAATAAGTCAAGTTTTCTTAACCTCCATGGCACAACAGGTAATTTTTACTGTGTCTGTTATAGAGCTGCTGTTCCTATTTATACCTTCACACTTGAGTACTGGGGCTTCTCAATTTCTATGAATTGACCTTTAAAAATGTCTATCATTCCCCAAAACTAAGCCAATAACAAGGTATAAGTTTACTCTGAATTCTACACTGTCATGAATCAAGTTCTCCTCAAAAAATAATTGTAGAATTTGTCTTCCAGAATTTTACTTCAGTGTTCAGGAAACACCAACTTTAAGCAAGAGAAGAGTAAAAATCAGGGAAATAAAGAAGCTGAGCCCAGTGACAACTACAAAAAGGGAATTTTAATGGCAATGAGAGTTGTAGCAAATTGAAACAAAAAGGCTGTTTGGATTTTTTGTGGGAGAATGCTCTGATTGTAGGTCTCCCTCTAGAATTTATTCAAATGTAAACTCCATTTCTGAGATGTTAAAATGTGGTACCAAGTGAGATCTTTACATGATTAGGACAGACAATTCATGCCTCAATAATTTATCTTAGAAGGTTGTTGCTGTCCCTGTGACCAAGTGACAGACTGTACAAACTCAAGCCTCTGTAGTGCTTTGCCTGCCACAGGGACTCTTTCCAGATGTAGCCCCTCGAGGGTGTCCCGTCCAAAACTCTGACCTAAATAGAATGTTTATTCGCTATAAACTATCCGGTCTGTGGTATCTTGTGATATCAACAGAATAGAAACAAACACAGCCACCCCTTAGCAGACAGGTAAGAACTGATAGATGCTATGGAAAAAAAAATTCTTGGAGAGGGTCTCAATGATGGCCTGTCTACACCAGTGGTCCAGCAGTCATGGAAGACAGCATCTAAACTGTAAGAAGGGAATCTGAGGGACACACACATCACACCCACAATATGCATGTGTACTGCAAATAGCCTTTGAAAGACCACCCAAGTTATTATTATATTCTCCACAATGACTTATCAAAATATATCATTTTAAACATTAATGGGACAGTGTTCATTTGAGCCTAAAATCTAGTAATGGACATTGTCAATTTAAATATGTAATTAAAATATAATGAAGTTAATAAGCACACACTGTGTTCTGATGCTGAGATTCATTTACTCAGCAATTATTTCCATGTAAATTTATTCGAGCAAACATGTATTCCCCACCCATGTTTGTGTATTCCCTTCCTGGGAGATAAAAGTCCTCATGCAAGACAGTACGAAATTCTGGCCTGGATAGTCTCTTCTTCCTTTCCTAACCACTCCCATTCTGAGGTTTCAACTTCGCTCTTAAAAGACTCTCCATTCCAATTAAGAAAAGCTACTTACTATAATCTATCTATTCATGATTTACTTAATCCAACCTCCCCTGTGCATGTCTGAGTTCACAGTAGAATGCTTTCTGTGTTTTCTGCAGCCTCCTACTTCTCTGATCCGTGTTCTCTTAGGCGGTTATTGTTACAAGGAAATATGAATGTTTGATATATTAATACCTTATTTTTCATCTAAAAAAATTCAAGTTTCAAAACTGAGAATTTTTCTAACTAAATAAACAGAACTTTTAGAAGTTCGTAACTGCTCCTGTGCCTTTATAGTTCATTCTGCACGTGATTAGCTATTTATTAGGGATTGAAAGAGGCATGGAAACCTGAAATGTTTCAATCAGTGCCAATCATGAATCAATCATAAATTATATAGAATACCTTAAAATTAGTGTTAGTTAGCATGAGAATAGTAATATATAGCTTAATTTAAATATTGCAGACACTTATTTTTAATGTAAAACCAGATAATGTCTTACAAAATATACATAATGACTGAACCACAATATGAATTGCTCTGTAGACCAAGAATTTATATGGCTTAAATGTACCAACGTTGGCTGGGCATGATGGCGCATGCCTGTAATCCCAGCACTCAGGGAAGTAGAGGCAGGCAGATCTCTGTGAGTTCAAGGCCAGACTGGTTTACAATGCAAGTCCAGGACAGCCAAGGTTTCGCTGAGAAATGCTGTCTCAAAAAAAATTTTTTTAATTAAAAAAAATAAAGAAACAAAGAAAAAGTTGAACACCAAAAAAATAAAATATTTCTAATTAATGAGATCTACAAAGGAAAAGATATCCAAATTAATGACTGATTGGTAGAAAAGAGGAAGGCCTTTGGGGAGGGAAGGAGGGAGAGAGGGAGGGAGAGAGGGAAGGATCAGGTTAGGTAGAGAGGTCTTCTCCTACACTCTGATTTGTATACGCACAAAATTCATCCATGTTAACTTTTAGAGACAAATGTGTTTTCCTCGATTTCAAATTCCTAATGAGGTTAGGTATCATTTTACTATTTGAGGCTTAACAACCTTTCCTCATCTGCAGTCAAAACTAGAAAGTGCTATGGCAGCAGGGTTTGATGTGTTCTTATCACACACACTAAAACAGAAATAAAAGTAATAGAAAAACACAGCGGATGAAGTGACTAATATGTTCATTGGCTTGGTCCAGGCGATATTTCTCAAGACACGTATTCATGAAGAGATCAAACAAGCTTGCACATGTGCAACTGGTGTCTATAAATTATATATTAATAACAATGGAAAAATAGCCTACAGAATGTTATAAGTGCTCTCTGAAAAGGCACTATGGGGCCCACAGGAAATTTACATTTCCAAATAAGTATACTCTAATTTTTAAAATGTGTGATAGTTAATATACACTTAGTAAATGCTTCCTTACTTTCTTGATCTTTTCTACATTTAGAATTTCCTAGGATTCTAATATAAAAATATTAGATTAATGTAAATCAGGTTATAAAATCATTTTTAATGATTCTAATAAAAATATGGCAGAGAAAGAGGCTCGTGTTGAGAAAGAGCTCTCTGGTTTGGGTTGTTTCGGTAAGCATGACTTGACCCACATTATAATCACATATCTACGGAAAGTCATATCAAAGTCCTGTAAAGGATGTATGGGCCCCAGTCAGAGGGGCAGTGGGTACAGAAGGGAAAGGATAAGAGAAGTCAGCTTGGGTACACTTAGAATCTCAAACACTAAGATTAAAGGAAGAAGCTGAGGTTCAGTCTCCTTTGTATCTTCCTTACAAGACAGCATGTTTCAGTTCACTGAGTGGTGATTAGAAGCGTGCTGGGTGAATAAACCATCCAATGAGAACTTTCCATTAAGAACTTACAGTAAGATCATTAGACATTTGCCTTCACCATGATGAATTCTATAGTAGTTACATTCTAAGAGTTAGACTGCTTTTGATAGTTTAATTTTGATTTCTGGTGGTATTCAGTTATATTATCTCAAGGTAAAGAGTGTTTTAGTTTGGTTTGGTTTGTTTGTTTGGTTGGTTGGTTGGTTGTTTTTTTCTCCATGTTGTCTGCCCTTTCTGTTTGCCAGCTCCAAGTACTAGTTGGTAATTGAAAAATAAATGACAGGATGAGGAAGTAGCTCACTGAGTAGTGTTCCTGTCTCAGAAGCCATAGACCCAGCACTCAAGTAAAAAGCCAGGAATAGTGGAATACATTTCTAAATTCATCACTGAGAAGGGGGAGTTTAAAAAGGTCCCTCCTGGGTCAGGCAGCATAGCCTAAGCAACAAGCTTAGGTCCCAGGGAAAAAGGACACAAAAACAAGATTGAAGGTTCATGAAGAATGATGGGTTTCCTCTCTCTGACACACACACACACACACACACACACACACACACACACACACAGATGAGGAGGTTTGGCACATATGAGGTAGATCTGTTAGATCTCTACAGTGCTGACCCATCATAAAGGGCCAGCATCTTCAGAAGCTAAACATATTTATGTGAAGAGGACAAGTAAAGATTGGAATCCCACAAAAATGTTTCCAAGCACACATCTGGTAATTTTTTCATTCGTTATGGGTTATTAATATCTTTAACTATTAAGTCAGGTCTTTGATTCTCATTTTATCTCTGTGTTCTTATCAGCAGGAGGCTAGCAATATTAACTTGTGTGATATCACTGTCTGGCAAAGACCAAGCATCCTAGAAGGTACTCTAGAAAGTACTGTTGAATAAATTGCTATAAAAGGGTTTATGGCATTTATGATAAATGAACGCAACATTAAAAGTAACTAGTGTAATGCCATCTCTATCTCTAACCATATCTATTCTTGATGTATCAAAGTTTTAAAGGTGTTTATCAGGGCTAGAGCTGAGACATTTTACAAAGCAATCAATAAATTTAAAAGAACAAATAAAAGATCCCAGCATATGATGGAAAAGGATGTCCCTCTTGAGTTTACCTAGCTGATAGTGGATGGAGATGAACAAATGTTTACATAACATGAAAGGAAACATTTCTATTCATAAGCTAGCTAGAAATTGTACTTAAACCAATTATTTACTTGAAACTGAGATATATAAAAATATTGTCTAATCTTAATATTGTAATTTCATAGATAGGTGCAGAATCTGAAGATCATAGTCAAGCTAAGAATTTAAGGGACTATATTAACAAAGTTTAAATAGCTAAATAAAATCTGAATTAGCGTTCAGTGAATTAATTTTAAGATACATGTCAAGTCTGACTGTACCTAACAGGATTTTAGAAATTAATGTAAATTTTCCTGAATTCTAGACAATTAGATATGTTTAAATTCATTTATGTTGTAACATTTTAGGAATCAACTCTTAAGCTTCCTACCTGCAAAAGAGTTGTTCTGTGGAACTTCAGTGCCCCCTTCTGGTGCATTTTAGCAAAGCAGCCTGAGCAATAATCTTCGCCACATTCCAGGCATACCTTTAAAAACACAGGAGACAGAGGCAGATGATACAGCTAACATTGAAGAGACCTGATAGGCTAGGGTCAGATAGATGGGGAAGAGGTCATCCCCTATCAGGGGACTAGGGAAAGGGCATAGGGGAAGAAAACGGAGTATGGGTGGGACTGGGAGGAGAGGAAGGGGGCTGCAGAGGGGATACAAAGTAAATAAGTTGTGATAGATGATAGATAGATAGATAGATAGATAGATAGATAGATAGATAGATAGAT